TGGGCGTGTCGTGGGCGTGTCGCGGGCGTGTCGTGGGCGTGTCGTGGGCGTGTCGTGGGCGTGTCGCGGGCGTGTCGCGGGCGTGTCGCGGGCGTGTCGCGGGCGTGTCGTGGGCGTGTCGCGGGCGTGTCGCGGGCGTGTCGTGGGCGTGTCGCGGGCGTGTCGCGGGCGTGTCGCGGGCGTGTCGTGGGCGTGTCGTGGGCGTGTCGTGGGCGTGTCGCGGGCGTGTCGCGGGCGTGTCGCGGGCGTGTCGCGGGCGTGTCGCGGCGTGTCGCGGGCGTGTCGCGGGCGTGTCGCGGGCGTGTCGCGGGCGTGTCGTGGGCGTGTCGTGGGCGTGTCGCGGGCGTGTCGTGGACGTGTCGTGGGCGTGTCGCGGGCGTGTCGCGGGCGTGTCGTGGGCGTGTCGTGGACGTGTCGTGGGCGTGTCGCGGGCGTGTCGTGGGCGTGTCGCGGGCGTGTCGTGGGCGTGTCGTGGGCGTGTCGTGGGCGTGTCGTGGGCGTGTCGTGGGCGTGTCGTGGGCGTGTCGTGGGCGTGTCGTGGGCGTGTCGTGGGCGTGTCGTGGGCGTGTCGTGGGCGTGTCGTGGGCGTGTCGTGGGCGTGTCGTGGGCGTGTCGCGGGCGTGTCGCGGGCGTGTCGTGGGCGTGTCGTGGGCGTGTAAAGGACATGTCGTGGACGTGTCATGGGCGAGCAAAAGGCGTGTCGTGGGCGTGTCATGGGCGTGTCTTGTGGACGCGTCCCTCTCCCGCGCCTTTGCAACCTCCCCCTCGGATGCGGCGCCACTCCGCTGCGCCGCACTCTTGCTCTCGACAAGCCCAGCCTGCGCCTCGCTCAGCTTTGCGCTCAGCGCCTGCGCCGTCTTGCTCGCCTGCTTGGTCGCGCGCCGCTCAGCCTGCAGCTGCACCTCGAGCGCCGCCAGCTCGTCTGCCGCCGAGCTGCCCTCGTGCAGCGCCGCCGCCTGCCGCTCCACCTCCTTGCGGCTCTGGGCGAGGTCGGCCTCGACGAGGGCGAGGCGCTCGTCCGACGCCTCGATCTGGGCGCTCGCCAGCATCATGTCCCTCCGCTCCGCCTCTAGCTCCGCGCCTAGCTCCGCCACCCTTGCGAGCAGCGCCTCTGCCTCGCCCGCCTTTGCGCTCGCCGCGCCTGCCTCGCGCTGCAGCTCCGCCTGGGGAGGGGGGGGGGGGTGAGGGGGGCGGAGGGTGAGAGGGGGGGGGGATGAGAGGGGGGTGAGAGGGGGGTGAGAGGGGGGGCGGGGGTGAGGGTGAAAGGGGGGGGGGGTGAGGGTTAAAAGGGGGGGGGGGTGAGGGTGAAAAGGAGGGGGGGGGGGGGGCGGGTTTAATTCCCCCTGGAGCTCGGCCGTGCGAGCATCGGCCGCCTGCTGCTGCTGCTGCGCGACGCGGCGGCTATCGGCGAGGTTGGCGGCCGCCTGGGGCCCGAGGTGGGGTGTAGGGCTAGAAGGGCTTGTGCTGGGGCTGGGGCTAGCAGGGGTAGAGGTTGGGGCCAGGGTTAGGGCTACTACGCTTAGGGTTGAGGGGAAGTGGTTGGGGGTGAGGTCCGGGGTCGCCGGCTCGCCTTCTTCAGCCGCGCACTGCTGCTCTCCTCCACCTCCTCCATCGCCGCCACCGCCCGCTGCGCCGCCGCCCTCTCCGCCTCAACCAGCGAAGCCAAGGACGCCGCCTTCGCCTCGCCCTCCGACTGCAGCGCCGCCAGCTCCGCACTAGCCTTCTCCGCCGCGGCCGCCGCGGCCCTGCGCGCCTCCGCGCCGGCCTGTTCACAGCTGCAGCTGTGAAGAGGCCGGCCCGCACTCTCCCCGCGCCGCTGTCGACCGGCCAGCCTTGCGCTCCGAGCGCAGCGCGGCGGTGAGCTCTGCCACCCTCGCCTGAGAGGGAGGGGGGGGACCTCGCCGAGATGCGTACGTGCACGAGGTGCCGCCGAGGTGCCGCCGAGGTGCCGCCGAGGTGCCGCCGAGATTGCACCTCGGCTGCGTCGAGCGCCGCCTGCGTCGCCTGCATCTCCGCGACCTGCGCCTTTGTTGGGCCTCGAGAGAGCAGCGAGCCCGCCTTGAAGGGTCACAGACAACACATCAAGAGTAACACTGTCTGCGGGTCGGCTAATTAAGCGAGCTGAAGGGTCGCTCGAGGATTCGGGGTAGGGGTAGGGGTAGGGGTAGGGGTTCGGGGTAGGGGTAGGGTTCGGGGTAGGGGGGAGCAGCGACCGCCTTGAAGGATCGCTCTCCGAGCGGCGCCTTGCCGCCCTCGCGCGGCCTGCCCGCCGCGGCTGGCGCGTGCAGGCCGACGCCCGCCGTGCCGTCGGAGCGCTCCGCCTCGCCCGCCTGCGCCTCGAGCGAGCCGGCCGTGAGGGGCGGGAGCGCGGTCTCGCGCCGTGTGCTTGCACGGCACACGGGGGCTACGAGCGGGAGACGGCTGCGCTACCGCTCCATCAATGCCGCCGCAGCGGGGCGGTGCAGCGGGGCGGTGCGGCGGGGCGGTGCGGCGCTACCGCTTGAGTAGGGCGGTGCCCTAGGTTGGCGCCCTCCCACATCTACACCCGGCCCGCCTCCTCTAGTTCGTCGTCCGTGTCGAGCTCCGACATCTTTCCGACGTCGCTGCCCGCCTCGGAGGCGCCTAAGGGGAGGCGTGCCCGGACATGTCTCGGACATGTCATGGACGTGTCCTGGACATGCCTCGGAGGCGCCTAAGGGGAGGCGTGCCGCCTGGCCTCTTCCGCGGACTCGTCTGCGGCAGCAGTCGCCCTGGGGGGGGGCACCCGCGATCGAGAAGGAGGAGGCGGAGGAGCCGACCTATGGCGACGAGCTCAGCGTCTCATTCGTAGCGCAGCGTCTCAGTGCGATGTGGAAGGAGGAGGCGGAGGAGCCGACCGAAGCGCAGGAGGAGCCGCTGCCGGAGCCTCGGCCATAGTACGAGGAGCAAGCGTCCGACCGGTCCGAGCCGGTGCCCGACACCATCGACTCGGCGTCGTCGCCCCTATCCTCGCAAACGCGCCCTGTCTATCCACCCGGCACGGCGCGCGGCGCGGCATTCCGACTCTCTGCGCGCGCCTGTCGCGAGAGTAGTTGCGCAGCCAGCGGCAAGAGATGGTGAGCTTGGCGTCGCCGACAGGGACGCCGTCGTGGAGGAGGACGAGGCCACACTCCTTCACCACCGGGTCCACGCTCGCGTACGACGACAGGTCGAGGCTCACACGCGCCATCTTCCTTGTCTCGCCCTTGTGGCCCTGCTGCTGCAGCAGCGTGAAGGTCGCCTCCTTGGCGTCGAAGCCGCCGCCGGTGGTGTCGCGGTACATTGTGCAGACCAGCGCGAGCGTCTCGTCAAACTTGATGCGCCCGCCCTCGGCCGCCCTGGCGCGAGTGGTCGCCAGCTTGTCGCCGCGCTTCCACGCGATCCGGAAGCTGGCGTCGGGCGGCGCGACCACGCCGGCGCGCAAAACCACCTCGTCGACCAGCACACTGTAGTGGTACTTGAACTTGGCGCCGCCCGCCGCGCGTGCGCCCAGCCAGCGGCGAGGCATTGGCGGCGGCGCAGGATTGTGTGGAGCGATTGTAAGTCTCGGAAAAAGAATTTTCAAGATCTCGGAAAGAGAATTTAAACAGGCAACCCTCTCTCACAGCCTGTGCGTAAAGGTGGGGACGTGTCTGTCCTCGACCCAGCCCTAGCTTGGGATGTCCGTTGTATTTATTTATTTAGCCTGTGCGTCGCCCATCTCTCCCTGGAGATGACTGCTCTATTTATTTATTTAGCACACAGGCTCGAAAAAGAATTTAAGAAACTAACAAAACTCCCGTTCCCCTGTGTCCCTGATCGTCCTTACAAGATCCTGCTCGCGCAGAGGGGACCCTGTCCTTCTGCCACCCCTTGTTTGGTGTGTCCGTTTTATTTATTTATTTATTTACAACAAAACTCCCTCGCACAGAATTTAAGAAAGCCAGACGCCGACAGCAGACAGGCTCGACACAGGTGCGGACTGGCGCGTGCTAGCACTATCACAGGCAAACCACCGGAGCCACCAAAACGACTCCGTTAAAAGATCACAAAAAAGAATTTAAACGACACAACTCTCTCTCACAGCGCTCAGCGGACAGGCTCAAAAAAGAACACCCGACAAGCGATCCCACGACAGCGAGTGTGGGGACTACATGAATCATGATCCGTACGTGAAGGGTGGAGGGGCCCGTCCGTCCGCAGAGCTAGGCGGCGCGGGCACCCCCCACTGGGGCCGAGGACAAGAGGCCGTTTGCCGCTTGCTTGTTCTTGATCCAGTTAGGTTAGGTTAGGAGTTAGGTAGGAAGGTGAAGAACAGCCAGGCTCGGACTGGACACCAACGCGGTATGGGTGGACGCTGGACAGATGACGACGACACGCGCGGAGCGACACACAGACAACAACACATCATCTCTCTCTCACAGACACAAACAGGAGGATAAAAATCTCTCTCTCAAACAGGCTCACAAGACACAACGCACATCTGTCATCTCGTCCTTCCAAATCCTGCTCGTGCAGGTGTGGACCCTGTCCTCCTCCGTCCTCCCCCATCCCTCGTTTGGGTTTGTCTGTCTTGTTTCTTTCTTTCTTTACACATCTCACATGACAAGCGATCCCACGACAGCGAGTGTGGGGACTACATGATCCGTACGTGAAGGGTGGAGGGGCCCGTCCGCAGAGCTAGGCGGCGCGGGCACCCCCCACTGGGGCCGAGGACAAGAGGCCGTTTGCCGCTTGCTTGTTCTCTTGATCCAGTTTGATGCGCATCTTGCAACAAAAAACAAAAAGTGCTAAAAATCTCTCTCTCATCTTGCGCGCCTGCTTGTTGATGTTTTCGGCGTCGCCCGCCACCGCCGCCATGGATGGAGATCTGCTGCGTGTAAGGGACCATGGAGGAACTGCTTGGAAAGAATTCCGGCCCACGTGCTCGCCAAGGCGCACATTGTGTAGTGCGTGGATGGGGTAGGGGGTGGGGGTGGTAGTGCGGCTGTGTGTCGATTTGTTTTTGAGATGCATGCACACACATATATGTGTGTGTGCACATGACCTCTCCAGTGACGCTCACGCTCGCCGCCGCCGCCAGCTTCGTCGCCCTGAGCTACCTCCAGGAAGCCAGCTGCGGCCTCCTCATCCTCGGCACCACCCTCTCGTACGGCTTGGTCTATGGCGCCCTCAAGGCGACGAGAGAGCCTCCGATAGCGAGGCAGTCTGAGTGGCGGGAGCGGCAGGTGTCGACGGTCAACGCGGTGCTGCTCGTCTGTGGTAGCCTCCTCTGCTTCGGTGGGCCTCGCCCTGCAGCTCTGCGCCTCGCCCTGAGCTGCTGCACCTCCGTCGCACGCCGCCGCTCTCACGCCGGACTGCGCTCTCACGGCTCGCTCCTCCCGCGCGACCCGCAGCCGAGTGGCCAACCTACGACGCCAGCGAGGGCTGGATCTCGCAGGGGCTCGCCTACTGGCCGGTCACCTTCGCCGCGCTCTTCGTCGGCTACCTGCAGTGGGACGTGCTGTGGATGCTCTACCACTCGTCGCTCCATTTTGACGAGCTGGCGCACCACCTCCTCTTCATCGCGGTCACGCACTACGTGCTGTGGGGGCGCTACTTTGCGCGGCCCTTTGCCTGGCTCTCGGTGACGGAGCTCTCGACCCCTTTCCTCAACTGCCGCTGGCGCGCCGCGTCCCTCCCAATCACCCTCTGCGCCGCGTGGGCGCCCGCGCGCAGGCGGCGCGCGATCGGCGGCGTCTGACTTGCCGCCCCGCGCCCGCAGGTTCCTCGCCGCCACGGGGAGCAAGGGAAGGGCCTACGACACGTGCTCGCTGCTCTTCGCCTCTGCGTTCCTCGCCACCCGCGCGCTCGGGTACGGGATGGGCCTCGTCGACCTCTGGCTCGCGCGCGACCTCTGGAGGCCCGCGCACTGGGGGCTGTACGTCGTCATCGCGCTCGTCCACGCCGGCTACGCCCTCAATCTCGTCTGGGCGAGCAAAGTCGTGGGGGCGGCGCGCCGAGCGATGAAGTCGGGGCACCGCGAGTAGCAGCCTCCACCCCGGCACCACGCGAGGGCAGTCTGTAGGGCCCCCTCCGCGTTGTTTCTTTTGTACGTACTAAAAAGAAATACTCAAAAGAAATTCAGCGCTCCCACCATTTCGGACACCGCTCGCCCAACCGAGAGGTGGCACGTGTTTTGTTTGTAAGGTTGGTGGTTGCAGCGAGAATCGGCGAGAGACTGCGAAGAGAGATAGGAAGAGGCGGACGCCCAAGGGTGGGCGACGGCTAGCGCACCACACCCCTCTCCTTAAAATCCCTGCGTGGTGGCGGCGTCGGATGGCTTTCTTCTTTTCACCTGCTTCGCTCCCGCTTTCGCGCTTGCTTGAGGCCCGCTCCCCGCTTCGCGCTAGTTAGCCCGAGGCCGTCGCCGCAGCTGCCGCCGCCGCTGCCATGCTCTGTCTGGCTCCCTGCCTGATCGCGGTCCTCCTCCCGTCCCCTGCCGCCGAGTCTGCCCTCGCCCAGAGCTCGCTCGTCTATGCGCTCCACAAGCCACGCGGCGTCCTCTCTGCCGTGGGCGAGTCGCGGGCCAGGACGCTCACGGATCTGATGGTTGGCGCGGGAGTCGTGCCGCTCGCTGGCCACGCCGGCCGGCTCGACAAGGAGACCTCGGGGCTCATGCTGATCACAAACCACTCCACTCTGCTGCGTGCAGTGATTGGCCAGGCGCCGGTGCTGGCCGAGTTTGGGGGATCGCCAGTACCCAAGCGGTACACGCTCCTCCTGGCGGGCGCACACGCGCCAGAGAGGCTGGCCAGCCTGAGCGAGCCGATCGAGATCACGCGCGGCGGCCTCAAGCCGTGCGACGGCGCGACCGTGCTGACGGCGACCGCGTTTCGAGACGAGCGGCTGGCGACCGAGTTTCACCTGCTCGGCAGAGATGACACGCGGCGGGTGGAGGCCGAGCGCGCCGCGCTGAGGGAGAGACGCGCCGCCTGTCGCAGTCGCGCATCCGGAGAGCCGATCGCGGCCTTTGTGCCCGAGGGGGGCTGGCTGACACGCGTGGAGCTGGAGATCTCCCAAGGTCGCCACCACCAGATCCGCAGGCTCTGCCGCCGAGCGGGTCTCAAGTTGAGGCACCTGGAGCGCACGCGCATCGGGCCCATCGAGCTCGGCGACCTGCCGCCCGGACGCGTGCGCCCTCTGGACCGCGAGGAGAGGCGGGCGCTCTACTCGCACTGTCTGCCGCGCGTGAGCGCTTTGATATCTCGTGGCAGCGAATTGCGTGTCTCCTTGTGAGCGAATACGCGCGTCGTTCTCCCCGCGTGACCCCCTCGAGACATAACCATAAAACAAAAATTGTTTTCGATTCTTTTCCAAATCCAATCGTGAAACAAAAATGAAAAATAAGAAAGTTACTATAGTTGCAGCGTGACACGGTTCCGCCGCAGTCATGTTCCTATATACAAGTCTAAGTCGGCTCTCTCGAGACTTCCCCAGTTCTTCAGCCGAGTCGTGTCCCTCTCTGCGCCGTGATGGCTGTGTATGGCCTATGGCGGGTCCCTGGCGGGTCCATGACGCTTATGTGTGCGCCTCTTCCTCCGCTCTGAATAACTCTCTCACTCGTCACCGCACTGAAACCTATATGACCTCCCCCACCGGCTGGAGTGTGGAGAGGAAGGACGGACAAACAAAGATGCATGCGGCAGCGCGCCAGAGCAATTCAAAGCTTGCATGCTTGTTCGTAAGCTAGCGCGCCCCGCAGTCATGAAAGGTCGGAGGAGGCCGAGGTTGTCCACGCGGCGTCGCTCGCGAGCAAGGATGGGTCGAGCAGCCCTTTGGCGACGAGCAACCTGTGCTGCTTGGCGAGCAGCGCCTGCGACGGGCAGAGGACGGTCGCGGACGTGTCGCGGACGTGTCGCGGACGGACGTGTCGCGGACGTGTCGCGGACGTGTCGATGTGGTGGTCGCGTGTCGTGTGGAACCTGCTCCCTCGAGAGCACAGCGGCGCCTCCAGCTCGGCGCGTGGTGTCGGGGTACTCTCGATCTAATCTCGGCACATCTCTCGCCTCCAGCTCGGCGCAAGACTCGACGGACGAGGGGGCGCTGCTTGCGAGATCGCAGCGGGCTCCTGGCTGCCGCAGGGAGGGCAGGCCCTCGGACAGGTCGGAGAGGCTGTCCGAGAGGCCTAGACGTCGGCTCATCTCGGGTGATCTCGCGCGATCTCCCGCCGGCAGGTTGCAGAGGCTGCTCGAGAGGCCGGCAGGCAGGCGCCACCGACCCGGTCCCGCCGAGCCAGGAGCAGCCGTCGAGACGCTCCCGCCCCTCTCCTCCGGCGAGACTCGCGGCCGGAACGGCTCCTGAAGCAGCTGCCGCAGCGGCGCTTCGGCGGGCCGCAGCAGCTCGCGGGGCGGGCGGGACGGCCGCGCCTCAATGGCCTCGCAGCTGCCGTGTGCGCTGGAGGAGCCACCCGCCGCCGACGCAGCATCGCCTCCCGCCGCGTCGCCTTCCGCCGCGTCGCCTCTGGCCGCACTGCCTGCACTGCCCGCGGCCGCCTCGCCTTGCCCTCCGCCGGCGCCCGGGCAGCCTCTGCCACACGCCGGTGCCGGGCTGTGCCCCGCGAAGGGCGGGTCCGCCTCGGGCCGAGGGCAGCGAGACGGCGAGCGGGGCTGGGGCGGGGGCGATCCGTTGTCTGCTAGCGACGACTCCGCCGTCTGGCACGCGACGGACCGGAGCCGGGCCTCGCGCGCCGCCGACCCAGTCCGGCCCGGCCGTGCCGCCTTTGGATGCGCATTCGCGCCCGGTTCAAGGCGATGCTGCAGGCGAGCAACGTCAGGCGCGCCGGGCGCGGCGGACGCTCGCGCGGCGGACGCTGCGGCGGTGCCAGCCAGCGCTGGTGTGGTGCGAGCCATCCGCTGGCGGACGGGCGCGCGCGCGGCGCGGGCAGCCCCGCGCTCGGCGGCGGCTCGAGCCGCCACTCGCCGCTGCGCTGCCGCGACAGCGGCGGCCGTGCGGGGCGAGAGCGTTGGATGCCGAAGCGCCTTTGCTGGCGTCCGTCTCGCGGGCGTGGTGGGCCGCCGCTGCCCTCTCACGGCTGTCGCCTTGGCCGGAGGCGGCCGCATGAGAGCGGAGACCGCGGCGTTGTCTTGGAAGGGGTTGTGCGCCGCATGGGCGCGCTCGTGCGGCGGAGGCTTGGCCTCGCGGTGACGCGCGCTGCGGCGTTTGGGCTGCGACGTGCTGTCAACCGCCCAGTTGGCGCCGGCTCGCTCGCTCGCTCGGGATCTGGCGGGATCGGCACCGAGGCGAGTCGACATTGCTCCGAGCACAATCTCGAGCAGCGCGGTGCTGTCGGGAACGCGCCGGCGGAACACGAACCAGGCAGCCGCTGGCCCCAGGGTGTTGGTTTGGGTGTTTTCTGGTCAAGGGGGGCAAACCCCGCAAAGTGACCCGTTTTTACCCACCCACGCCCGTGCGCGCGTATCTTAGAGGTACGCGGCCACACGCGCTGGCGCGCACGGCAACCGGGACTTACACGCGCGACACGAGGGACTGTGTATCCGTGCCTGCCTCGGGGGAGAATAGCCGCCCTCACCCGCTGCCGCGCATCGAGCTCGGCGGGGCTGATACGTGTCATTCTGTGCCGGCGCGTATCTTAGCCAAGATACGCGGCCACACGTGCAGACGCGTATAGCGGTACTCGCGCCCACACGTGCAGCCGCCTATCTTGGCCAACACAGCTCACAGGCGGGCATGAGCGCGTGAAACGGCCCGTCGGCGAAGGCGACTCGCGCTGGCACGTGCACAGAGGGATGTTGACATACGCCGCTACACGTGTGGGCGCCCGCCTAGGGGAACGTACGCGCCCCATGCGTGGGCGTGTATGTCACGCGTTGCACGGGTGCGAGTGCGCCCCCCTATCCGGGCCAAGATACGCGGCAGAAGGGGTGGCCGGCGGTACCGACTATGGCGTCTGACGGTGCGGCCGGATGTCTCGTTCCGTGCACGAGCCGAGCGCGGGCGCCAC